CCCCCCGGCCTCGCGCCCCGCCGCCCCCCAGCGGGCCGGTGGGGGTCGCACCTTCTCTATCAGCCGCTGCATGCGCTTCTGGAAGCGGCGGCGGCTGTCCCTGAGCTTCCGCAGCAGAGCTTCCTCCCCCAGGACGTCGCCCTCCATGGCGCGCGGAGCACCAATCCCGCACTCCAGCGGGAAGCCAGACCGAGGCCCCGTCCCCGCGCCCCGGTTCAAATAGCGGCTCCGCCCTTCCTGCCCGCCCCTCGGGCTCCCCATTGGCTGGCGCGGAGAGGCCGGGCGCTGATTGGGCCTTTTAAACATATGCGTGTGCTGCTTTCTGCCGGCCAATCGGCGCTCGAGTTTCCGGCCCCGCCCCGCCCAGGGCGCGCGTTGGGAGGCCGGGGGAGTCCGGAGTCCGCCGCCGTGCGCGCGGAGAGTGACGGCGTGGTGGTCCCTCCCGCCGCTCCCGTGCCTGTTAATCAACAGTGCTGCACGAGAGCCCTGTGAAATACGAATGATTTCCCCCGTCGTGCACCTGACACGTCCGGGTGACTTGCGCCGGGACTCGCCGCTGGGTGGGAGGCGGCCCTTCAGCCAGACGTCGCCCCGGCCCTTGCCTGGGCCGGCTTCCCCACCTCGCCCTCCTCGGGTCCCTGCGCAGTTACGAGAGATCCGGAGTGAGGGGTGGGGGTGGGGGCGGGGGTGGGGGCGGCGAGGGAGACCATCAAATTCGAAAACAAAAGGAGGCGGGAAACTGAAGATACATTTGGAAAGAAGAAATACCATAAACGTCACAGAATCCAGGAAAATACAATATTAGCCTCCTGGCACCCCTTTTTCGTACATATTTTTTATTGCATACTCGGCCTCTTCATTGATATTAATTTTGTAATATTTTCTCTAGAGTATAGGAAGATAATTCAGTCTTTCCTCAAGTATAGTTGGTGAAATTTATTTTCCAGTTGACATTTTAGCAAAGTTTTATTCAGCTTCATAACTTGGCCATATTTGTGTGCTAGTGCTGCTGTGATTACCATAAGATGTGATGAAAAAAAAAGAGCATAGCTTTAAGCACCATTAGGTCCCTTAGATGGCGCTCTTCACCTCCTATCGGCCTGCATCCCAATCCTCTCATGCCATCCAGCAGAAATTAGGGGAGGAGGGAGAACAATTTCAGGGCTCAGGTAGTTTAAGTGTCCAGGAAATGTACTGCGATGGACACAGAGATGTGCCGTCCAGATCTGCCTGCAAGATGCCCCAGCTGCTGGGAGGGCTGTCTGCAGGGGCCTTCTGCTGTCAGCCTCTTTAGAGATCGCCTGGACTGCAGAGGCCCCCCCCACCCCACGGTCCTGCAGCCCCAGGGCAGACCAAATCCAGTGAGGAATCCTGGTGGGAATATGAAGGCTGGGCCATTTCAGTCCAGTGGGGGACAGCCCTGATGCTCCTGAGCTCTCCACGGAATCAGCTGAATCAACCTGTCCAGTGTCGATTCTTTCTCTCCCTTCCACAGATGTGGATCCCAAGGGCACTCCCTCTTAAACATCACACTAACTCCATCTCCCAGTCTGCTCCCTGGAGAACCCAACCTGTAACACGGACCTTGCTGCAAGCGGCCACGGGATCTACGCGTTCACTTGTAGCTTTTCCAGTTTTCACGAATAGGCTGAGGTTTCTTCTCCTCCTCCCTGGGGAGAGTTCAGAAATTGAACACGCTGTTCCTTCCACTCTGTGTTTCCACACACAAGCTGGTTTTCAGACAGTCCACTCGTCAGATTTAGAGACTCGAGACCTTGGATAAGATTTTCTTCTAAGTCTTGGACAACTTTCTCTTCTATGACTCTCTAACAAGTGGGATAGTGACACTTCAAAACGGGCCTCTCCTAGGGCTTGGTCCTCACTCCTAGGAAACCACTCCAGGTTCCAGGGTCTCCCTCGATCGCTTTACTGACTATCCAAGGATCTGCCTCTATCCCGGGGCTCATGGCCGCCTCAGGAGAAAGATTTCTCAGTTTCAAGTTCTCGTCTTTAATCCGAGGTCCAAAAACATACCCACTTTGGCCAATCCCCTCTGAGCCAGCTAAAGCCGGTGCATTGGCTCTTGTCCTTCCCGCCTGCTGCTCTCCCAGTCCCCTCTGGCTTTCCCCATCCCGTAGTCCGAAGTGGTGGCCCAGCTAAGGAAGGAGGAGCGCTGCGCGATGCTCCTAATTGGACACCATTCCCTACAAACATCCCCGCCCCACCCTAGCAGCCTAAACACGTGACCTCAGGAACCCAGACCTGCTACGCAAAATCCTTCCCCGCCACTCTCCACTCTCATGTAACCGGGAAGGATCACGAGTCAGCTCCTTCCCCGGCAGCGGAGTCGGTGGTCGGATGCAGCACCTCCGGGTCTCTCCGGGTTTCTATAGGCGGCAGAGATGAGGCGGTGGGAGATGCGCAGATCCCCTCCGCAGGATCTCCCCTTCTGGCTGCATCTGCACAGCGCCCTCTGCTGGCCCGGCCAGAATTTTCAACCCTCGAAGTGCTGTTTAAAATTATGTACGTAGGAAATAATTCATTTTATATCTGCTCTAGTAAAATGTGCCTGAATTTCATAAAATTTTATATAATAGCTTGGGATTTATTCTGCACAGAGTTTCCATGTGCATAATTTTATGTTGGAAAGGTGTGGGAATCTCACTACCACTCTGTGGTCGGAGAAGCACGGCTTTCTGCTGGTCCCAATGTTGACGTGGAAACTGCTGTGTAACTGTGAAAAGGTCGGTTTGAGATGAATTATCAACCACAAGCATCAAGCCTCATCTGTTAGGCTGCCAAGAAAAGGGTGCGTTCTCTTCTCTCGCTCTAGGGCTGATGGAAACAAAGAGATTGTGAAATAGCTGACAACAAGTTGACTTTCCAAAAGGTGTCAGTCAAAGCTCACAAAGCGTATTTATTCTTCGATTTAATGAGTCCACTTTTTGAAATCTATCCTAAGTAATTAAGAATGTTGGCAAGGATTTAGCTGTAGGATCTTTAGTGAAAATTGGACTAGAAGGATGGTTGTGTAAATGGTGAGGGATACACACCTGTGTTCTGTTAACAATAATTTTAAAGAACTGTATTTATTGGCATCTAAAATGTAACCCTGTGGGGGTTACAAACATATGTATTTTATACCTGAATTTTAATAATATACAGTATACGTTTTAAAAATCTGAGTACGTATATCTCAAAATATTTCCAGCGTTATCCTTGAATGATGATATAATGGATTATTTTTACTATTAATTTTCCTCAGCTGCATTTTCTGTAATAAACATGTATTCTGCAATTATGAGGGTGCATTACTCATGTAATAAAAAACACAGCAGAATTGATCACAGCAGAACTTGGCTCGACAAAATTATTTATCCAAAAAAGACACACATGGCTTCTAACGTTCTAAAACTGCTCTCATCCAGCTGGTACAACACAGAGCTGATGTAATGCATTCAGCTTAGTTCAGGTATTAAGGATGCTTCTGTCATTCTATGACAGCTCTGGAGTTGCTACAGAGGTTATTTCAAGGGTCCTCACTCAGAAGCATTCTAGAGCATCCTCAGACCAACAGGTGCACTCACTGGGCTCCTGGTACCCAAACCCCATTTGACCTGCATATCTGCCACCAGGTTGGTCAGCTTCAACAATGATCTAAGTCCTCACCAGTTTCATTGAGCTCTCATTGATGAATTTATTTGGTTATCCTAGGATTTGTAACCAAATAGGTCTTTGTTTAAAGTAATTAGCTCTAGGTCTTTGTATAAGATCGTTAGATCTTTTGGTTTGCAGTTGGAACATTTAGAAAATATCTTTGCTTGTTCTCCTGCTGCTTACTCTGCATTTGTGTGTGTGTGTGTGTGTGTGTGTGTGTATATGTATGAAGTCTTATTTTAATCGTCTTTGTTTTGTCCTGATTATCTTGTGTCTATTGATTGCATGAGGGAGTGTTCCATACGAGACATATGGACATAGAAGTTGATTTTCTGTGCTCCAGTCCTCCAGTTGAAGGCCCATTAGACCAGTGGACAATTTGTGAAAAAACAATTAGTCAAACTTAGCCTTGGGTGCCCTAGAGAACCTTTGTGATGTCGTTCACCGTCTTGTCAACATTCGAAAGAAGGTACCTTTGCTGAGTCTATATTTTAGGGCAAGCAATTAGTGGGTCGTAGACTGTACAGCCCTTCTTAGCCTCTGCTTGGTCAGGGAACCTGAGACACGATTCATGAGCATACACCATGGACCGACTGTGGAGACCCATCTCCCTTGTGCTTGTCTATATCAAAATCTCAAACTCTGCGAGAAATTCATATTTGTATATAAAGTCTCATTATGATCCTAATTCTTGCACTTTTTTTAGGTAAATGGCAAGAAAGAACGACCATTTTAGAGAATGTTTGCCATGTCAAAATCAATAAATTCATATGTTTAAGAGGAACTCTAGAAAAACTAGGAGACAAAAACACCAAGCTTTCAATAGTTAGTGTCTTTGTTTTGTGTGCTGGGGCTTAAAACACAATTTGTCCAATGTCACTTTAATCTTTGGACCCACCTTGCTTGACTCTGTGCAGTTTTAGCTGCACTTCTCACTTATTCCTTTTCAATTCCTTCTGTTCTTTCCTCTGACCTTCTAAATGAGCTATCATTTCCTCAGGAGAACAGTCATGTAAATGTCTAAACCAGAAGGCACATCTATATAAATTGAATTTAAAACCTGGTCTGGAGCTGAGTTAAGGGCTTGTCTCAGCGCTTAGTTCGATTGGATTGCTATGCAAAATACCATAGACTGGGTGGCTGAAGCACTAGAAATTTATTTCTCATAGTTCTGGAGGCTGGTGAGTCCAGATCAAGGTGCTGGCAAGGTGGGTTTCATTCTGAGGCCTCTTCTCTTGGCTTGTAGGTGGCCGCCATCTTGATGCACACATACATGACCTCTTCTTTGTATGTAAGAAGGAGGGAGGGGAGGGAGAGAAAGAGAGAGAGAGAGAGAGAGAGAGAGAGAGTTTTGCTCTCCGGTATCTCTTCTTATTAGGACCCTAATCCCATCAGATCAGAGTCCCATCCTTATGACCTCATTTTACCATAATGACCTCCTAAAGACACTATTTTCAAATATAGCCACATTGGGGGTTAGGGTTTCAACATATAAATTTTGGAGGGGAGCATAATTTAGTCCATAGCAGGACTATAAAT